AACAAACATTTGTTTTCAAGTGTTAATCGAAATCTAGAAAGTGGAGGATACCTTATGGTGTTCGGTTAAGTGGAGAGCCGAGATCTATGGTTGACCTAACCACGTGGGACCTCACTAATTTACGACCTCCTATTAAGTGGAAGTACCTCATATTGCACCTCATTTAACTCGTTACACAAAACGATGTCGTATTTCAAGCGGGAAAGCATGAGATTCTGTTTTAAAATGTTAGGCAACCGATTAAACGATTAAAAGCTACCGTGAGAACTAATTTTACGCACTCCTAATAACTTGTAAAGTGTTATAATTAAAACTTTTAGAAAGAATTGATGGAACTTTTAAAATATGTAGCACAGGAACTCGTTCGAATAGGAATTTTATCCGCCATACTTGTTCAAGATTATTTACATTATCACTCGAATACATGACGATAAATTAAAAGTAAGCAATGAATAGTTATCTAGATAGGATATTAGGATCACATTTAATTAGTTAATGAGGTATCTTATGTAAATGTTCATTTAAAAACAATTCAAAAACTACTCAATCTTGGTTTGACCAATGGCACTACGCGAATCATATTTATGAATTCGGGCACAGAAGATTCAAATCCTTTGAACCATCGCAGGAGCTTCTCCAGTTTTATCCGCTCTGAGTGCTAAACTCGAATGCAAACGGACAGTTCGCGCGATCAGTCGAAATGCAATTATAAGCCTACCGGCGCTAGATTTAGGAAGGATAATGCAGACGGTTGAAAAAGGATAGGAGGTCAGGTGGTGCTGTAAGGATCAATACGCCATCCTCTCTCGAGAGAGGCTCACGTGTTGCTCCCGTTTCCGGTGCCACCCGGCGAACCGAAAAGGATCAATGTGCCCCTTTCTGCGATCGCTTCTAATTACCGCACATTACGGACGTCTACACAAATTTCTGCTGTCTGGCTTGCTTGAAATTTAACAAATTATCGCATTAATCAACACTTCACCTATCGAAGTACAATTAATACGTCGATTGCAACGAGAATTTTCAGTGTTTCATACAGTATTACTTATCCTTTCATAGTAAAGATAAATTGTATTAGAAGTAATTATTAACAACTCGGTACCAAAGTGTTTACGTTACAGTATCGTCTAATTATGTACGTTACTAAATATTCTTAGTCGGGCTACTGTAATCGAAGCACTAATCGATGACACAATTTTCCATTGAAAATCGACTCAATAATTTCCTTTGAACAATAATCCCCAAGAAAATAATAACCATATCAGGTCACGCGAGATGTTATGTTAATTCGAGATTCAATTTGCTGTAACTATTGAAATAATGAATGAACGAATCCTTGTATAAAGGTTATTCATCCCCGTAAACTGTTCAATAGCTGCCGGTAGGTAATGCGTTAAAACAGTGTTTTGTTGGTCGCGCTATACCCGTCTACTCCAGACGCACGCAGCCATAATTAACGCAGAAATAATTAAGCTGGAAAAAACTAAAGAACGACGGGAGAGTGGAAAATATGAAAAACATTACTGGGTCAGGAACGTGCCGCGGCTGCGGGGATAGCGTCTCAAGCTGGCGATATCAATATTCGTTTGAATTTAGAAGCTTCGCCCGATTCGCAGAATCTGAAGATAGCATTTAAACAGGTCGCAGGTGAAATCCGGATCGAAAACTGTCGTTGAAACCATTTTTAGAACATAAAGAATCCCTCGATCTCTTCGGCGAGAATTATTCCACTTTTAATTCAAGCTTGAAACCCGATGGCCGCGTACACTGCCCGCCAAAAGTTTCCAATCGCTCGACGATTCTCGGAAATCTCGGAAACGGTTATACCGTGCGACAAATTTTCTACGCGTTCGAAGATAATGTTCTTAGGAACAACCATTGAAACTTGTATCTTTCGTAAATTGATATACAATCATTTTTAAATACTTCACCGCGTTAACTCGACAAACACTTCTGCCAAAAATTCGCACGATTGCACAATTCTGAACAATACTAAGCCTAGACAGTGTTTTTCATACAGCTCTACTTCTAATTTCTTCTCATGTTCTTTCAATAAAAGATAGTTCTTTTTTGATAGAAAGATATTACAAAATAATTCTTTTTTCATAAGAAGATAATACTTAGATAATAACTCTTTTTTGATATTACTTAAAAAACAATTCTTTATTGGTAAAACCATTATTGTACGTTACTCTTCGCGCAGCTTTTTATTTTCTAATTTCCATTCCCCGTTTTTTTCTACGCTCATAAATGTAAACGAAGTAGAAATGGTCCTTTCGGAACATTAGAAAATCCCCGTGCGGTTGAAAAGATTACGCGCATTCGCCTGATTCCAGCGTGAATAATCCTGTTGCAATCTTGAGGACGTTGTAACAAGGTATGCATGCAACTATGGAGCTGTCGCAGCTTAATGCGCGGCGAATTATGCTATTCAGTCGAGTGTATCACGTTACAGCAAGCGACGAATTTCCCGAGCACCCTTTAAGGAACCGCGCGCCGCCCCCGCGGGATGACATCTCTCGTTCCAGTTTTCCAACGAAAATCCGGGCTGGCCCGCAAAGGGACGCGAAACTGTGCACTCGAATGATTCACACGAACACGAACACTCGAAAGTCCACTCGTTTTCCTTGAACAACCTTTGAATCGTCCGTTCCGCCTGCGCTTTTGTCGAAGTTGATACTTTAAAGAGCTCGGATACTCGCCAGACAATCCAAAGGTCGAAAGGGAGGAGGGCGGGAATAATGAAAAAAAAGAGGGAGACTAAGGGAAACGCCGGATCCGAAAAAGGATTAATCTCGTGAAGCATCAATTAAGGATTAACGAAGCATCAGAAGACGGACTTGAAAAAGAGAGCAGAACTAAGAATTCGCAATTTCAGTTCATTGTTTCTCGGGTAATATTGGAGAAAGCAAAACTGTAATTTTCATTTCACTGTTTTCTCTCCCTCTTTACTGGCAAGAATGATCGTCAGTAATTTTGAACAGATCGGCAGAATTATTTTGATAAAAATGTTTGACTTTTTTGTTCGAATGTTTGGATTATTATCAAACTTAGAGGAAGGTTGTAAAAATAGTATTGTGTATAATTTAGTTATAAATTGTAATCGTGCAAAATTGTACATTGAGAAAGAATACGCTTCCACTGATTGTTCTTATCGAACGTTTATTCTTTTTCATTGTCCGTATGAATGAACTAAAATTTTGATTGGCGCATTGCGAATGATATTATTCTAAGTTTATGAAAAAGTGCCGTGATTCTTTTTAGGATTGATAAGGCAGATAAGTTACAAACACTCGTCAAACTTGGGGCGCGGTTCTAAAGATTTCAATGTCGATCATAAATAACGAATTTGATTTATTTCGGGAATATACACGCAATAACAATGTATGAATAAGCATTGCCGCAACATATTGATACGCCAACGTTTATCAGTGCTCCACATTATCAGTGAATCTACCATATTCATTCAGACTACTGAATTGCGCAGCGGAGAATACTTAAAAGATTTTATCGATACATCCTGCATAGAGATTTAATTACTGATCATTTGAAAAATCTGTTCTTTTATTACATCCTGTACTTCCAGGTTTTGCGATAGGAAGGTCGAAGATTTTTATAAATCAAATTTAACATTCATTTCTATACTGAAACAAATAAAACACTTTTCAGAGTATCACTCGATGATCGACAATACTTGATGTATTGGTTTAGCATTTTCTTTTATCTCAAACAATCAAAGAAATAGTGAGTTTTCATAGCGAGTATTTTCTATTTAAATGACAGAATGATAAATTACTTATTGATCTATCTTATATATCTGTTCGCTGATTTTCAAACAGACTTCTAATATCAGTGTGGCTTTCTATTTCTTTTTGTACACTTCGATTAGAAGCACTTAACTCTTCTATTTCTTAGATCTGTACAATAAAAACCAATATAAAGCTTAGTCAGCACACTAATTGATTTGCTTGATGCAATCGCGATCATTAGCCGGAGCAGTCTTATCGTTTCAATATTCACTCATTAAGTACCTGTCAAATAGGATTAAGATCTCAGCAGGCAGAAAATCCAAATGCGTACGTCACAAAACAGAAAATCCAAATGTGCACCACACGAAACAATTGATTAGTGAATAATATAAACAATCTGAAGAAATATGTCTCCGAGGATTTCTAAGAAAAGAAACATGAAACGCACAAGAGTCACAGAATTCCATTAATTTATTCGTGGATATTCTTTTACATCAACGTGAATGTGAACGACACGATTTGCATTTCTCTAGAACTTTACATTTTAGATTCCCCGCCTTTCATACACTCTGAACGAGGACCTGAAACTTTTAACACTTTTTTCACAGCACATTTCTTTAATTAATGAACACGACACGTCGGGACGGTGTAATCCAATTAAAATTTTTCAAATATTTCTACCGCGTGTCTATTCTCCTTAAACTAGGACTAAGTGAACATTCCTAAAATTCATTGCAGAATTTCACAATCCACGTGACTTTGGAGACAATCGTCATATCGGTATACAAAAATTCGCTGATGTGCTTCGAACAATGATAAAATAGAACCTGAAAGTATTAAATTAACACTTTTTTATATTAACACCTCTTCCCAAAGATATTAACTCCCAAAATATTTTATTCTTCTGTTCTCTTCCATTTACGACTTCTTTAATGGAAACTTCACTTCAAACAACAGATCGTTACGAGACTAATATTTCAAAAGAAATTTTCGAATTTTCCTCTGTTTTGACGTAAAGAATTTGTTGCAATCAGTCGAAGATTTCCTTCTCTTTCACTGGCAACGAGTATCAGAAAAGCAAAAAATTTTCCACTCGCGATCGTATTAATGTTTGCTGCTTTCTTCGAGACAGTTTCTAATGTCAAGCTAGGAAAACCCCGTAACGAAGATAAGTGTCACTCGAGTGACATTTCCAAAGATGAAAAAAGTGTGTTGTCACCTAAGAGTGTTATGTGTAAACACTGTCGAACGGATACAGTTCGACGGCGTACGTGGATCGAGATATACGAGCTCACTCACAATTGTTATCAGAAAGCAATTAATCATAGTGATCTGGATCAATCACGAAATCTATCGTATTGATTCAAGACGGATTGCAGATCTATCTAATCTTGACTGAAGAGACACGGAAATCTCTTGCAGTTTCGAAACACCGGGACCCGGGTATATAAAATATTGCTAGCTAACCAAAACGAACGCAGTCGGTGGGAACAGCACGGATAGCAAACATGATTCTGTCAACCTTGTCAATTCTCGCTCTCTTATCCTTCTCAAATGGTAAGTGGCATCAATCATCGATAGTGTATTTCATTGACACGTCTCTTTCCACAATTTGCAATCGCGATATCGATTTATAATAATACACAGAATTTTCTACGACCGACAGCTTATGGAATTCAATGAAACCGATTTATACCGGTTAAATTGAAATTTGTCCAGAACCGACGACTTGTGAATTTCGAGTTTTTATACTGAAAATTTTCTACAGATCCATAAAATTTGATAATAGTTCACAGTCATTCTTATATTAGACATTCTGTACAACTGATTCATGGAATTCGATGAAATTAATTCATACGACTTAATCGATTAAACATTTTTCGCAACTTTACAAAAATTTCACAAAATTGATTTATAATATTTCTTCCATCATAAATTGTCTACTGTTGACGATTCGACAAAATTGATCTACATTAATTCTTATATTAAAAATATCCTAACCAACGATCCACGGAATTCTACAAAATTGAGAACCGAATATTTTCACGGACGGTCGCCATTATTACGGTTGCCGAGCCGTGAGCAATTTTTGTGGACATTGACAAGCGCAATGTTAATAAGTAGGATAATCAATGAGGCCGACCTAACGAGTAGCGGCTCATCCGTAATTATTACACACTAATCATTGTTTATCTTGGCATTTACACAGCCGCGCTGCTGCCGTGGTTCGATCCAAGGATCGTAAACGGGGAGAACGCGAAGGCAGGAGAAATTCCGTATCAGGTAATACTCCGTCATTTTCCTGTTATACCGAACAGTTGTTTGAGAAAGCAGATCAGCGTTAACTTAGCATCTGAAAACGTAATAGGGACTTGAGAATATAATATATATATATATATATGTATGTATGTATTATGTATGTGTATATGCATATGTATATATAATACTATATACTTAATATATATATATATATATATATACTTAACTGGAATTGGTCGCGTTTGTATTCCTCCAACCGCCATCTTTAATACGCTTCGCGCTTCGGTGATTCAGCTAAAATCCAGGGCACAACTTAGAATTTCTATCTAAATTTCGTATAACGAGAAACGTGGAATTTTGATTAGATAGTTTAACAATTATAACGTTATTTTAGTAATTTCTACTTTAATACTTACAAAATTATTCGAATAGTCTATACATTGTAATTTGATGTTTGGAATAATGTTACTCGTCGCCTGATTAAATTAAGCTATAAAATATAATTTACGGAATATAATTTTTCAAGAATATAATTGATAATTATTTATAAAACATAAGAAGAGACACTGTTTCTTGTAGCATTCTATTGAAACGGGATTTTAATAAGATTCTTTCGTCGTGAACGATATAACGAAAAACACGAGGATCTTTAATTCGATACTTTAACAATTATAATATTATCTCAGTAATTAGTATCTTAATAATTAACAAATCATTCGAATAGTCTATTCGTTTTAATTTGATGTTTGAAACAATGTTACTCGTCGACTGATTAAATCAAGCTATAAAATATAATTTACAGAATACAATTTTTCAAGAATAAAATTGATAAGTATTAATAAAACGTAAGAAGAGACACTGTTTCTTGTAGCATTCTATTGAAACGGGATTTTAATAATAACAAGATTCTTTTGTCGTGAACGGTATCGAAGTCCAATATTTTCCCCGGAACTCTGACCGGATTCCGGTCTCCTTAGATTCCATGAAATTATTCGAAAATATGTAATAAAAATAGCTTCCCTTGTTCTCAGGTATCCCTTCAAAACAAGGGTAGCTCGTTCCACTTCTGCGGCGGATCGGTTCTCAACGAAAATTATGTTATTACCGCGTCCCACTGTGTCTCAGGGTAAATATGCCAATGGAAATGCAAACTGAAGACTCGTTCTCGTAAGAAACTCCTGTGACTAAAATGAAAATACATTTCTTACAGGAAAACTGCGTCGCAAATCAAAGTCGTAGCTGGTACGATCGATTTGTCGAAACCAGGCTCTGAACACAATGTTCTGAAAATCATCATGCACGAGAAGTATAACTCCTTGGACTCTTGGATAAACGACATCGCGTTGCTGAAGGTGATTAAACACGGATTTCTGCAATTCTTGAAGTATTCCGCTGAAGAATTTCTTATGTAATATTTAATCATCCACTTTCGACGGTTACAGGTTGAAAAACCATTCGTGAAATCGAAATTGATCTCGTTCGTCCCACTCGTATCGGAAAATGACGTTGTCAACCCTAATGAGGTAGCCACTGTGTCTGGATGGGGCAGACTTAGGGTAAATAAATTTATAATAATTTTAATAAAGAATTTAGTCTTGGCGAAATTGTTTGTTAAATTTTAACATTGACGAGTGTACCATTGTGCTTTGCGAATAAGATAATTAAGGGTTATTCGAATGCACATTTTATTAGATTCGTAATGAAGTATTGCAATTATATGCGAATGTTTGAATGTTTTACTGAAACGTGATATTTTATCGGATTTATACCTGTATCGTTTTTTTTCTGGCAATCAACGAATACGTTTCGCATAATTGCAGCAAGGCGGCCCCACCACCATTCACCTACAGCGCGTCAACATTCTGATTGCCAACCAAGAGTACTGTACGCTCATGTACAAGAAACACGGATACAAAATCTACGACTCGCATGTCTGCGCATACGATCCATCTGTCGAAAAGGGATCGTGCAACGTAAGTTTAACTGAGATAATAATTCATTAATTAAAAGAACATCAGTATCTCGAAAAAGAAATTCCCGAATGATTGATTCTACAAGGAATTCGATTTTTAGATTTTGCCTGTCAATTCTGATTTCGTTATTGATTTCATTATTGATCTCGTTATTCCCTGTCAATTCTGATTTCGTTATTGATTTCGTTATTCCCTGTCAATTTTTATAATTCATTATTGATTTCGTTATTCCCTGTCAATTTTTATAATTCATTATTGGTTTCGTCATTCCCTGTCAATTTTTATAATTCATTATTGATTTTATCGATTATCAAGCTCTGATTTTTAACTCAATGCAAGATTACCTATGACGTTTCTTTATGCTTTCTATTAATTAAGTTCCTTTCACGTTCTCTTTTGTAATTTGCAAATACAAATCAGCAAATCATTGACATTACTATGCTGTGAATCTTCAATTTCAGATTTTTTAGAATACAATTAACAAAATGGAATTACAATAGAGAAAAGCTTTTCCTAACGAATATTGTACACAGCACTACACTATGGATAGCTTATGCATTTTTCCATATCGTGTGCATCCTATGGAATTTCGAACTTTCACGTTTCCCATAAATGCATTACAGTGTAGCTATTAGTTTTTCAATCAGTTTTTTGAAAATACAATTTTACTTTGCTACAGGGTGACTCTGGCGGCCCATTGATGGTGAAAGGCAAGCTCGTGGGTCTGGTTTCGTGGGCTATGGGCTGTGCATTGACCGACTACCCCACTGTCTACACGCGTGTGGCATCCCATCTTGACTGGATAAAAAAGAATGCAGTATAAATCGAACAGACGCAGCAGTAACTAAAAATATGAGGATAAGACTTGATATGGACTATGAGATTGTAACAAAAGTAACATATTAGTTACTGTGAAAATAACTGTAAATTATGCTTTATATATTTATTGTATACAGCAATAAGACATTTCCTCCACTATCAACTGTTTTCACTTACAATATCCTAAATCCTTGTAGACCATTTAACATCTGATTTATTGTAAATAAATTTATTCTGTCCGTTACAGGACTTGGTGAATGGAAGCTACTTTAATTTGTATCACACTGTACTATCTTTATGTTTGTATCACACTGTACATTTATCTTTACTATAAATGTAATTTTGTTATACATACAAAAGTTACGTAGACGTGTAATTACTGAATTTTTTGAAAGTGTACAAAATATTTTTATGAGATCTTCCTTCTTAAATTAAATTCTATGAATCGAAAAGTATACATTAACAAACGTACAGTCAGTCATTTTACAATTACTTTGATAGAATGTTTACATAAATTAATTTATTTTATATCATTTTTATATAGTTTATACAATGTTTCCTTTTCCTTATACATCTCAGAATTTATATATGTAGAAATTTGTTTAGTCTTCCATTTAATTTTATTGTTTACAATATGTAGCGGCCAGCAAGCACGACGTAAAGAAATATTTGGCGTGCAAACAGCTAGTATGGTTTATGACAACAGGTCAGCGAGTCCACTTTTGAGAAAGCCGTTTTTTGAGAATTATAGCCAAGTTTGTTTTTTCTTCGACAATATTTGCAGACGGCCTCAGTAGCAAATTGCAGATGTTATAAACCATGAATATCCAAAGGGATGCAATGCATGGTCAAGCGACCCTCGGCGAGTGACGTCACGAGGCTTGGGCCCGGAGAAAATTCCGCTGCGTTGCCAAACTTCCACTAAGGAATACTCCCCCACCAAAACACACTGTCTTTCCACAAAGAACGCGCTAAGGGCGCAAGGAATAGACAGTGATTGAAAATCACCGGAAGTACCTGATTGGTTGACGCCAATGCGCTGTTTAACCAATTAAGGAAAATTCGACATTTTTGCTTCCTATGAAGCAGGGATAAAAAGACAGTCGTCACGAACAGACAGTCATAGTGAGTCATAGTTAGACATAGACGGTCATAGACAGTAATAGTCACAGTAAAGATTCCTTCGCTTAAACTTGTGATAGTAATTTCGAACACACACCTCACCCATCATCTCGCCAAAAATATATTTGTAATATATTTTAACGTGTCTATTCATTTACTCTATTCCTTGTATAAAGTAAGACAGAAATAAATATACTATCGTTTTCCAGTTGAAAATATTGAAAGGTAGAATTATTTTCAATTAGCTTCATTTATCGTGAAAAAATATATTAATAAAATGATGATTAGAAATAGATGAAGATTTCTATTGAGAAACTGATAACTTGATTGCTAGATCCAATCCAATCTATCGGGAAAAGTGTACATTCTAAAAAAATTGCATGAAACGAATTAAACGAACTTAAGAACGATAAGAAGAGATAGAAGTCGCTTTTCAGTAAAGGAGAGAGTGAATTTTCACTGCACTTTTGGATAACGTAATCAAACGCAATAATATTCTGAGAAATTTAATCTGTCACTTTATCTAAAGAAGCGTGTAAGATAGTTCAAATGAATAACTTGTAACACGAAAAGTATAAAAACTTTCCTGAAAACTTGAACATTCTCAATTATAACAAAATATTCTACTATTAAACAATAACATTGAATCATACGTGGATTGCTATAAAAGTTTCAGGAAAATATGAGAAAAGTTACAAACATGTTTGTAACTTTAACATTAATTGATAGTTAATAAAAATTAACACGTTGAATGCCGCGCGATTTTATAAAGCAAACTACACAGAATGGAAAAAATATGATATTAAATCATTTGATTGAATTGCATTATTATCATTGCACGTTCTTCTAGTTGAATGTCACGAAATTAGGTGGCATTATTTGTAATATAGGTTAATGTTTCCAAATAATCAGTATTAACCAGTATTATTTTTGTCAAAACAGAATCTAAAGTCGAAGATTTATTTATATTTAATTCGGCTAAAACGTTTTAATTGTTAAACGCAATCACGCTCATGTATCGTAGGTATCTGGACAAGAAAAAAGCATTTAAGCAACCGTATCTGCGAGAAACAATTAATCTGAATTCTAAAGCTAGATAAAGACATATTGGAAAACTCAACGGGCTGTAATCTACGGATATATAAACTTTGTGTTCGATTTACTGCGTTATCAATCCGACTTCATTTCACTCGATTCTGGCACCGGTGCAGCTAACATGGCTCTAGCTTTGGTCTCGCTGTTTGCGGTGTTGGCGGTCGCTAATGGCAAGTTTTTAATATCAATTACCCCCGTTTACGAAACGATCTCAGGCCACATAAATTTAAATTAAGAGGCCGACACTTTGCAATTCACTTTCATTCGGTATTCATTAATTAACGGAATAATGTTTTGATTGAATCATTTGTACAATGAATTTACTAACGCGTCGAAATTGCAGCCGGGGTACTGTTCAACTTTGACCCACGAGTCGTAGATGGCGAAGATGCTAAACCGGGTGAAATTCCGTACCAGGTAAGCTAAAACAATTTTCCCACGGAAAAAAGTGGACGTAATGTTTAGATAAATATTGGTTCAACAGTGAAAACTCGAAGAGATTATAATAAGAATATTAGGAAATATAATAATACAGTAATTAACAATTAAAATATAGTAATTTGTTACATTATAAAGATTTGTATGGTATGAAATTTTAGATTTATAGATTAATGGATTAATAGATTAGATTAATAGATTAAAATTTTTAATTTTAGATATTCGTTTATAACATATAAATATGGAAATATTTTCAGCTTGGTGAATATTAATGCAATAATATAATCTCGTGTGGATTAGGTATCCCTTCAAACTATTAAGAAAAGACTACACTTCTGCGGCGGGTCAATCTTGAACTCAAACTATGTTCTCACGGCAGCTCACTGTCTCTTGTTGTAGGTACAACAATTTCCTATCAAGCAAAATCCTTCGCGATTAGCGTAATGGCACGCAAAATCATAAAGCTTAATAATATTTTTAACAGTGAGACTGCCGACAATATTCAAGTCATTGCTGGGACTGTGGATGTGGATGATCGTGTGTCGGTGCACAAGGTCGAGAAAATGATCGTCCACGAAAAATTCAGCATGGAAGATTCCTTCATCAACGACATTGCTTTGCTTAAGGTAAATTCCTGTTGAGATCGAGTCACTTTTGAACTACATCGATGAAATAGTTTTCACCAGCTTCACCGGGCAAAACGAATTTCGGAATCTAATTCATTCTCGAAATGAACTTTCTCCAGATTTAGTACGAACTTGTCACATTCTAAACGAATTGTACAAAATGTTTGCCATGGGTGCGTCTTTCCCTTTGATATTTATTAAGAAACATTGTATTGTTTATTTGTTAACACCAGAACTACCACGCGATATCTGAGAAGTGTAAAATATCGGAAATGATTCTAAAAATGAGTAGTTTCAGTTGAATACTGTAACGAATATATGAGGAAACCGAAAATAATCTATCGTTGTAATTGTTGAAAGAACTATATATTCATTAAATTGAACGTTCGGTAGTTCTAGTATTAATAACAAAGGATTAATAATTCTTATCCTTAGAATTGACAAGGTTCGATCTCAGTAGTAGGATGTTTTTATTGTGTATATGTAAAGTAGATGTAAAATATGTTTATTCTGAATTTCACAGGTGAAGACACCGTTCTCGATAAGTCCGCGTGTATCCACCGTTCCTCTGCCGAAAATGAGCGATGTAATTCCTGCTGACACGCCGGCAATAGTGTCAGGATGGGGTGCTCTCGCCGTAAGTTTCGCTTTAGAGAATCAAACAATTTAATTTTTATAAATTTCCGTGGAACATATGAGACTAGAACTGGGGGTTACCAAGTATTCTGTATTAGAAAGATGTAACTATCACAATGACACTTTGCACAGAAATGTATACCTCTAACCCTTCGCACTCCAAGAATTTTCTACCAAAAATACCCAACACACTTTCTGATGAACTATGCTCAACATTTCTTGAAACTAGCTTCAGAAGAAATCGTACATAAATTAAAGAAAAAGACTGTTTCATTTAAATATTTCACATATCAATGCATCACACGAAATTTAACATTGAATATTATACTTCATCATTTTTCTGTGATGATCGAATGACGACTGAGAGACACCTATGGAGTTCAAAGGGTTAATAGTAATAGACAAGATTTTCTTGTATCGTCGTTTAGTCAATTAAGTACTTAACGGTCGATTATTTTTTAATGACACTCCCTTCACTTATATAACAACAGAATATCACCTAATAATAAAGAATACATTGATAAAAGATAAGTAGATAAGTAGATAAGTGGATAAGTAGATAAGCAGATAAATAGAAAAAGTTTCTTTAAAATTTAATATCAAAGAATTTCTATATAAAATTATTAAAGCTAATACAAGCTTCTAATTACAAAGGTCAACGGACCAGCCCCAAAGAAGCTCCAGAAGGCACTAATCTTCATAACCGAGCAAAAGATCTGCAAAAACGCGTACATACCTATGAACATGACCGTTCACGACTCGCACATCTGCGCTAACTATCCACCGGGAGAGAAGGGAGCATGCAACGTGAGTAATTAACACTATAATAACCGAACGAATCAAAACGACCCATTCCTGATGTCCTCTTTTTCCAATTATTGAAAAGATAACAGATACTTCTCTCAGAACTTACTGAAGAAATTGATTTAGCAAAACGCAAATTGAATGTAAATCATATTAGCATATCAATTAAAGTTTCAAAAGAAATTTCAAGAAGTCAACTTCACTACTCGGCAGTTCTAATCCTAACCTTGATCGATGAATTTGATGCTTTCCATGAAAAGAACATTCATACAACGAATCCATCGCTTTGCAGTAGGGTAATTCCGGCTGAGAAACCCGATCTCGTTTACATTGTCAAATATTTATATTTTCAATCGTTTTTAATCGATACTGAATCTTGCGTAGAGGCCTATTTAAATATACCTCTTATATGTAGTTTCCTTTTGTTAGGTATTAACCACTTGCTCTACCATTTAGTTTCGTCGTTATACTTGTTAGAATTACGCTTCGTTAATAATTCACTGGTAAAACCAAGAATTTCGTGCTCTTTCTATGTGTAAATTTACTCTGGACCGTACCAGTTAATAAAAGAAAGATTATGCTCCATTTGAACACAAAGAAATGCAATGGTATTTTGATTTGTTAGACTTTATTGAGTCTGACAGGATATTATAGGCCAAAAGATTAAGGATGTGTATGATGTAATGACTCTTTTATAGAAATTGGGCCATTCTTACTCTGTTCTACTAATCGATCTTAAAACATAACTGATGATTAACATTTTCTTATAGGGTGACTCTGGCGGCCCTCTCACGGTAAATGGTAAGATTGTTGGTATCGTGTCCTGGTCGTACTGGTGCGCGCTTCCAAATTATCCCACTGTTTACACTCGAGTTACGTCTTTCTTGGATTGGATCCAGGAACATGCAGTTTAGACGACAATCGTTTAAGCACTCCCTAAATTTTAACGAAACTTCTTTACAACAAGCCTTTATTTACACTCGTGGAGATTAATATCAGGATCTGCAGATAAGGAAAACTTAATGTACGTTTAAAAATAATGAAATAAAACTCGAAAAATTAATATTGTATTAATTACAATTGTTCTATTTTCGTATGATTTTATATACCTTCGTAAGATTATTTCCTTTTCCATTAATAATCCCTGGCTTTATACGTTTCACCAGTTATGCAGATTTATACATTACCTCTTTTATCCCCTCGACGCAAGTACATTGTCCTAAAAATGTTATTCTAAATTAAATTCCCATCAGATCTTATTCAAAATCGAAATTTCTATAATCCAGAAGAAATTCTATCGAAATATTAAGTCAACCCATAAGTAATATCTTCTTACGTTTCCTTTTAGTATGAAAAATTAATACATATTTAACTTTCCTTATTTTTCGATTCATCTCTTAGTGCCATTTTCGAATTTCCGTTAAAAAAACATGTTACAAAGTGAGAATTCTATTTATTTCTTTAGATTCAAATCGATATTTCCAAAAATATTGTACAATTGAATCAAGTTAAACATTTTCTTGTCCAAAAATGTTACAAAGAATCAGAATTAGTCTTTGGATTTAATATTGATTTTACGAGAATATCACCGTTAACACATTGACTGCCACGGTGGTCACCGGTGACCAGAGCTTTCAAATTGCTTGAAAACACTTACAATAAGAAGACTGATATTGAATCAAAACATTTCATAACACTAGAAGCTAGATAATAGTATAATATGAATGCTGTAATACGAAAACATTAATAATTATATTTAATACTATTTCCCTCTGTCATAAAGGAATAAATCTTACTATAAGAAAATGCGTGAAATTCTCGTGGCAGTGAACGTGTTCAATTTTATGCTGCTTACGAAAAGGCCTAATTTATAGGAAAGAATAATTCTAACTGTCGCGTGACAGTTCCACATTGACTGTCCGATTACATCGTCGCCATTGCTCGCCGGCAATCACGCGTCGCGATCGATCAACTGTAGTTAATAACGCGACGCGTGAACACACACGGAACGTGCACGCTCCTTTTCCGCCGATAGGCGATTCCTGCAGTCACACCGGGACATTTTTTTCGCGCGGCCGGCAGCTGCGCCAACGTCAATTGCATTTTGATTCGACTTTTGTGTTTGCACGGCAACGCCAAATCCCAATACCGCCATAATTCACGTGGCCGCGATGCGTCCCCGATTATTCACGCGAGCGCGTCCGCGCGTCACAAGAAACAAGCGGACACAGCCTCTCTATCGCGATTGTCGCAAAACTCGATATAATTACGGGACCGGCGCGGATCAAAGCAAATCATCACCGACAGCGTCGGAGTCGTGGTCACCGAAAATTTCGCGCGCCTATTGTCACGTTAATATCATTGTCTCGCGTTAGTGCGAATTATTATTTTAATTATCGACGGAGATTATAAATATTTTGTTATAAATATTATCGCGGACATTGTATAACGATCATATAAAGATTATTATCAGAGTTTATTGATATTTATATATAAATATGTTTGAACAGAGAATTTAATAAAGCTTCGTGATTGTATATTTGATATAAGAGAAAGAATTATTGTTTGACACGTTGAATGCCATGGGGATCATCCAACCAAATCGGATTACTATAGTTCACTCAATGAAACGATGATTATTTCAGAACATTTCTATGTTACAAACAATGCTGCCTGATACGATGATATTCGGTTAGATGAACATGCAATAATAGTATTGTAATTCAATCAAATGATTTAATATTAGATTTTTTCCATTGTTTGTATTTTTCTCTATGAAATCGTGTGGCGTTCAACGTATTAACCATTTGCATATTATTATTAATAGTTAATATAAATAAATTAATAATTTAATAATAATATAATATTTAATAACCAAATGATCTAATTAGTCGAACTGCAAGAGATCAGCGTGTAGTTTTCTTTTTCTCTACTAACTATGCAATCGATATATAATTTAGCTTCATGTGTTGAAGGTTTTGTATGTTTCGAAGAATCTTCGTCCGAAAAGGGTTAATACAATAACCCCCAAAAATTTGGTTTGGCATTGACTTTTTACGAATTTGTTTGTGCAAATATTCACAGTCTTGTTATAAGCATTCGATACTCGCTGAAGTATGTTTCTAATATCTCAATTGTAGTAGCACTCCGAAGACACCGCCCGTAATTGATACTGAAAGGCACGTCCACAATTATCTATGAAAAATCACAGATACCCTGAAAGCTTTAATCACACTTCAAAACTTTCATTACCAGATACCGGCGCTGTAAAAAGACCCCATCGACAAGCTTCGCAATCTGTCTCGAAGTGAATTTCAATCTAACGAGATTAAGATTGCCGCGTCGCCGTCTTATCAATTTCCAAGACGCCGTCTACTTTGTTCGGATAGATGGGTCTTAGAGTTCAGACCTATTGCGACAATTTGTACTTATCTCGTAAGTAATTCTCTTCGATATTAACAGCATTCGAACGCGCAGGAGATACTCGGAAAGTTTGTGAAACAGTTACAACGATTTCGATGACGAACGTTCCGTCGTTAATTGTCTATTAAGTGTCGCCGAATCAACGAACCGTGTGCGCGCGTCCGCAAATTCGAATGCCTTCGTTTGATTTTAATAACGATTATACAAATGGAATTTCGGTCGATCAGTAGAATTTGCAGAATAAATAATTGCGGGCGAGAATGCGGATTACTTTCTTGAATAATTCCCGTAATAGCGAATAACTCCATAACGCGAGGAGAAGAGCACGCCGGGATTAAAGTATTACGGAGAATCTTCCTGTGGCTCAAAGCCAAAGACATCGAAAACAACAATTTGCAGCTTTTGTTAATAAATAATGTTACGGGTCTCGGAGCTATCCCAGCAGCGACGTATAAACACGGAACTGCTTGAGGCCACTTCGAGTAATGACCTCTTCAGAAAAGGTAAAAGCT